TGGTTCAAAAGATTTAAATTTAAAAGATGAAATTTAAAACTTAATTTTAAATTTTTAAAATTGTATTGACTTTATTAAAATATAAATTAAAAAATAAATTAAAAAAAATAAATTTATGAGATAAAATATTTTAGATTAAGGAATATGAGAATTTTACTACTTTCCTATATTAAAAAATTATATTAAAAATAATATATATATATATCTATGAGAATTTAACCCTCTGAAAGCAAAGCCTGATCATCTGGATCAGGCTGCCTGGGCTTCCCCTGGAGTATTGGAACAGAGATGATCTGGAAGTCATTCTTAGGGATGCTGGTGAGTACTTAAAATTGGATTCTAATACTAAGAAGACGTCGTGTATTGTTTTTCCAAGAGTATGTGTTAGGGTCAAACTTAATAGGCCAGTTGTGCTTGAAATCCTGCTAACCACGGGAGGAGAGGAAAACAAGATCAAAGTGTTTTACGAGAACATTTTTGATCTCTGCACAAACTGTGGCTGGCAGGGACACAAGGCTTTTGAATGTCCAAATCGGCCCACAGCTGATCAGGCGGGGGGGGGGGGGGGTCAGATAACTGTTGACAAAAGAAGAAGCCAAAAACCGATGAAACATTGACCTGTGAGCAAGAAAAACTCGGGGTCCACAAGGCTCAATCAGTACAAGATAAAGGATTAGAGGAGGTGGAGTAACAGGAAACAAGGAAGGAAAAATATGGAAGATAGATCAGGATGGGAAAGGACAAACGCCAAATTTGTCAATGCTGGCCATGTCACAATTGAACCTTATGGTCGATAAAGGATCAACACGCAGTGGGTGCTGAAGAAAGGAAGAGATGGAAGGTCGGAAAATAGAAATGGTGCCCATTGGGGTAGAGGACCAAACAGTTTCAGCAATAATAGCAAAGGATTCTAGGATGATAAGATCTATGAAAACAAAGAAGAGAATTCAGAAGCAAACGAAGATGATTATGGAGTAGAAAATGAAGGCGATGATTTCGAAGGTGCCAATTTGCTGGATGGAGATTGGGAAGATCATAACTTTCAAGATGAAGAAGCGAGGAGTGAAGATAAATCAAGCAAACTATGACACAAAGAATATGACTGAGGGAGAGGACAACATCGGTCTAGGAAACAACGTCTTCAATGAAGGTGTTTAGCTGGAATGTAAGGGGGGCGGGTAGACCCCGTCTGCAACGCCATGTGGAATAAAGCGGGGGATAGAAACAATAAATTCTTCCACACGACGACCACTATCAGGAAGTACCCTAATAAAACTGTGAAGGTTAAGGATGAGATGGGAAATTGGGCTTGTAATAGCTTTGACATTGCAATCGTTTTTACCAGAATGTATGAACAAAGTTAGTAATCTAGAGTCTAAATCAGTGAATTATATGTATTTGCATGACTAAAGTTAGTAATCCAGAGGACCCAATTATCACCAACGGAAAGTGGTAGGAGATGGTAGTTCTCTTTTAACCAATCCGAATCTACTACACTTACACTTTATGCTAAGGTTCATATTAAACAATGAAAATTCATTAAAATTTAGGGGTTTCTGCTTTGTTAAAGTTCTTCTGATATCATCTCCATCTACTCTTACATTTGATATATAGTTTGACCAATCTAATTCACCTATGAAATTTGGTGAATCGATGCAGGTTGGTGTAGGCCATAGTATGATATCTCTACGGCAAATCCATGACTTCTAATATATATATTTTTTTTGTTGTTGTTGTTGTAGTGCACAATGGAACATGGGTGCGTCTATGTATGCTCCACATACAAATAAAAAAAAGTTAAGCGTATTCAATGACACTAGGGGGCGTTCTTCTTTCGGATTTTGAGAGGGGAAAAGTGGGTCAATGGGATTTTGGTTTCTATTGACCAAGAATCCTATGTTCTTTTTTCAAATTTATGTGGGGATCGGGGAAAGTTTATTTTCCTGTGTATCACTTACCCGAGTAAGTGATACCCATCTCCTAGGTGAGTAAATAACTTTCCCACCTAGGGGGGAAGTTGCCAACACTTGAATGGGACAAAAATGCTCCTCTTAATAATGAATTTTTATGGCTAAAATGGTCATTAACTTATTTACATGAGAAATAAACGAACATGGATAAATGCACTTATCCGGGTAAGTGTTTCCCGGGAAAAAACTTACCCAGGTAACTGCATTTACCTAGGTAAGTAACTTACCGAAAAGCGAATGGGGCCTAATATTTTCTTTTTGGACTCTAGTTCTGCTAAAAACAAAGCATGTAAAGTGGGTCACACTTACCTAATCACAAATAAACATGCCATCCTTTGTAATTGTTTGTAGCAATTCCCCCCTCTTCTCTTTGTTCTTTGAGGTTTGTGTTTTTTAGTCTCGATTTGTTGGTAGTGTGTATATACAATCAAATATGGAAATTTGTCTAATCAAATGTACTGCAATTCCATTTAGGGGGTGTTCTTTTTTTGGATTTTGAGCGGAGGGAAAGTTGGTCAATGGGATTTTGATTCCTATTGATCAAAAAACCCATATTCTCTTTTTAGATTTATGTGGGGACAAGAGAAAGTTTATTTTCCTACTAGGTGGGAAAATAATTTTCTCACCTGGGAGGAAAGCCACTAACATTTAAATGGGACAAAAATGCCCCTTTTAGTAATGAATTTTTTATGACTAAAATGGTCATTGTCTTATTCACATGGAAAATAAAAGAATGAAGGTAAATACAATACACTTACTCGAATAAGTCTTACTTGAGAAACACTTACCTGAGTGTAGGTACACAGTGCTCACTCAGACCCTCAGGAAAACATCAAACACCAAGATTAGCACCGCAAAGTTGCGTACAAACAACTTACAGTCAACCCCCCCATGCTAAGATGAACTCACAACACACCATCAACCTCGCGATGAACTCACAATGCATATTCCAAAAGCTGTATAAACCCACGGTTCACCGAACTGTGTCGAGAACCTGGTTGAGAGAAACTCGGGTCGAGCCCACGGCGAGATGTGCGTGAAGCCGTAACCACGTGGAGCGCATACTATCGAGAGGCGCTACAAGATACCACATAGGATCAACATGACATCATCCACCGGTTGGTGATGTTATTAAATGCCACGTCGGTTAACAAAAAGTGCATGAGAGGAAGTAGCATATGCAAATAATGAGGGATCTCGGGAAAAAGGAAAGCTAATCCTCATGAAACACACGGCAAAACCCCAATAGTGCACTTAATAATTGACAGCGAAGCCAATATTCCCTTTCCCGATACGGAACGAATATCCTCATCTCCTACCTTTTAAGATCTCAGGACCTCCCCCATAAATAGAGGTCCTCCTCATATTGAAGATCATCCGATCCTAAGGATTTGCCACCCAGTACTTTCGAGTACGTCCTAACTCTCCCATCTTGCACCCCTAATCTAGAGACCCTCATTTCCTTACTCATAGGCCTTCCTCTGTCTTTCAAAGAGACTGCTCCTCAACCAAGCCTTACCCCTCCTACACCAGGTAAATAACTTATAGAAAAGAAAATGGGGCTTAAGTGCTATGAGGTGGGTGTGAGGAAATCTGGGTTCCCCTCTAGCCTCTAGACAAGTATAGCAGTAATTTATTATTTTAATAATCAAGAATGCACTTGATTATGAATGTATAAAAACAAAATTCTCTCAATTAAGAGCCCATTTGGGAAGTGCACAACAGTCTCTAACACTGCCATAATCTAGGGCCTACCCTTGTAAAGTTGGCATATATCTAAATACATGCATGCTTGTTGTATTGGTCATTGGGGAACTAGAAAAGATACCGCATTCAAAAGTGTAAGTATTTGCTTTACAAAAAAGTAAAACAAACAGGGCTTAGGCTTGGAATCCAGTAATCCGATTTGAAGAATTTCAACTTTAGGGTTATAGTTTAGGCCCATTGAAAATTTAATAAATTTCCAATCCCGACCCAACCCAGCCTAGGTTGCATCCCTGCCAATACTATTGGGACGATCACACATAACCCATAGCCTACACTACAGTTGAGTTGAGAGAAGGGAAATCAATTGATCATAAAAAGGGGTATCTGAATCAATTGATCATACGCACCTTCTAATTGAGATGTCCTTGGCCTCAGTTGATGTCGATGAACTCGAATTTCATGAAATATGTCTCTGGCATTGGAATCAAACCGGCTGACCCAAAGTGGGTCAACGTAAATAAATCGGGTTGGTCCGGATTTGGGTCGAGTTGTATGGATATTGGTTGGATCGGACGGTCCAAGACGGGTAAAGCACAAAGACATCAAACCATCCTGTCCGAAACTGCTTCGGATTCGGGTGGACTCAAATCAGCTTGTACCGGGTCGGGTCGGCTGTGTGGATACTGGTTGGACTCGGCGATCCAAACCGAGAAAAGCAAGCAGTACCGAACCATCTCACCCGGGGTCTATTTCGGGTTCAGGTCGACCCGGATCGGTATACACTGGATCGGGTCAGACTACATTGAACTGGTCTGGACTCGGGTCAAATTGATTTGGATTAATGTTGGGTGAAGTGTGTTGATTCAAGACAAAAGTAAATTTAGTCAATAGTTAATAAAAAATTAATGTATTAATTATAAATTATTAAATTTAAATGAAGAAAATAAAAAAAAGGTAAGGAATTAATACTTATGTCTATAATGGTTAAACCAATGGTTATCCACAACCCAATCCATCTAAATGGACAAATTGAGTGATGGCATAGATTGATCACACAACCCGCTAAGTAAATGGGCGGATTAGGTGGATTTAGCAGATTGAATAAAAAATTGCCACCCCTAACTACTGGGATGATCACACATAGCCCAGAACCAACAGTACAGTTGAGAGAAGGGAAATCAATTGATCATAAAAAGGGGCACCAGAATCAATTGATCATATACGCACCTTCTAACTGAGATGTCCTTGGCCTCACTTGATGTTGATGAACCCGAATTCCATGAAATATGTCTCTGGTGTGAATTAATTCCTTGGCAGCCTCACTTATATCCATTCGTTTACTAGGACTCCAATTCTCATTATGGAAGCAATGCAGTCTTGCATTTTATCCATTACCAAATTGCAATTTCCAAAGTTTGTGATACCTCCATTTTCTATTTCTTCTCCCCCTTGGTTTGATATAAGTATTGGGTCTAAGATCCTTATCACTTGTTTAGGCAAAGCCATTTTTGCAAATTTGTGGAGGTTTAAATCATCTTTGAACATTTCATCTGTTGGTCTTTTCCCGGTGAACATCTCCAATAACAAGATCCCATAGCTACTATAGACATCCCCCTGTTTTGACGCTTTATCGCTTGTACCATACTCTGAAATTCACATGTACAGTTGAAAGTTTAATTGTAAGAATCAAACATTTTTGAAAAATTTTAATAATAATAAATTTTTTTTGCTCTTTGCACTCCCAATGTGAAGAGATTTGAGTCCACCCAGTTACTAGTAGAATAAGTGGGCTGAAGCCCAATGCAGAATTCTAAAATTACAGCCCCCCATATTCTACTAGTTACTAGTAGCCTCCTATAAAACTAATCCTGCCCTTGAATTTAGCATCGATCCACAGTCAGGATTCATCCCCTGTACGATCGGGCTAAGAATTCTGAACTGGGCTGATCAGTCATTCTCCTAAAATTTTAAGGGGTGCTAATAAAAAAAATCAAGTATAAAAGTGGTTGAAATAACTTAGAAATATATCATCCCGGGATGAAAATTTATTTACATACCTATTCTACCGAAACAACCAACATGCAGCTTGTATCAAAATTTATAATTATTCAAAAGCAAGCAATAACTGGAAGTTTAAGACAAATACTGTTAATTACCTGGAGCAGCATAGCCAATGGTCCCTTTCAGTCCAAATGAGCTGGTCTGGTTGTGGCAAGGATAATTTGTGTATTGTGGAATTAACCTTGCTAGACCAAAATCACTTACATGGGCAGTCATATCATTGTCAAGAAGAACATTGCTTGGTTTTAAATCACAATGAATAATTGGTGTGTGACAGTGGTTATGAAGATAATCCAATGCAGATACCACATCAATTGCAATATTTATTCTCTGAAGAATGTTTAAGCTCCACTCCTCATTCTGTGCATCTCTGTCAGGATGTAACCAAGGCTTTGAAATCATTGCCTTTGAAGTCCAAACTTGAACAAGATGTTAAGATCTTCACAAGATTCCTATGTCGGATGTTCATCAAAGCATTGCATTCTGCCATGAAGCTTTTGGAAGCTCTTGGTTTTTGAAGGTTGAATACCTTTACTGCAATTGTCATTCCTTGATTCAGAATTCCTTTATACCCTAAACCAGAGCTACCAGAGCCAATGAAATTAGACTCAGAGAATCCACTAGTAGCTTGAAGTAGTTCTTTGTAAGAAACCTTTAAATGTTGATCGCTCATTGAAGGCCTATTAGAAGATTTCCTTTTGGAAATTTCCTTCCAGTAAAGAACTAGAAAAACCAGTAGCAAGAAAAGGCATACAACCCCAACAACTACTACAATTAGTACTCTGGAAATAGTAGATTTTCCTCCTCCTTTAGTGGAAGCTGACGAGCAGCTCGGCAACTGTAGTTCAGGGATGCCCCCACAAAGCTTATAATTTTCAACCACTGAAGTTGCACTTGCATTTGCAAAAGCTCCTTTTGTTGGTACCTCACCCACAAGACTATTGAAAGACAGATTCAAATTCCGTAAGAGATGAAGGTTTTCAAAAATCCTTGGAATCTGCCCTGATAAGTTGTTCCGTGAAAGATCTAGATCTTGAATAGCCTTCAATAGACCCAAAGATTCAGGAATGGTGCCATTGAAGGAGTTACCCTCCAAGTAAAGGTGCTCCAAACTAGAACAATCACCAATTGTTACAGGAATTTCACCAGATAAATTGTTTTCGGAGATGCCTAGTATTCCAATATTTTTCATTTTTCCTACTTCCAATGGTAGAGAACCAGAAAGAGAGTTGTAAGATAAGTTGAGGATCATCGTTAGAGAAGAAAGACCAATAACTTGTCTTGGTATGGATCCATTAAGATTGTTAGAATGAAGGGTTAATGCTAGTAAGTTTTGGCAATTTCCAAGACTAGAAGGAACTCTACCAGTAAGATGGTTTTCTTCCATGTGAAGTTCAATCAAAGAAGTGATATTGCCTAGAGAGTATGGGATCTCTCCTGAGAATCTATTTCCACCCATGAACAACGACTGTAGTTTTTGTAGCTTTCCGATAGCAGTTGGAATGCTACCTCCAAGTAAGTTTGTCTCCATGCTTAAACCAGTCAAGTTCATGAGGTTCCCGATACCTGAAGGTAAGCTTCCAAAGAGTTGGTTCTGTCCAAGTGCTAGTATTGTGAGTTGGGTTGACAGATTAGCTATAACTTTGGGCAAAGAACCTCCAAAGTTATTGTTCTGTAGTTGCAATATTTCTTGATTACTACAGTTGGTGAGCTCAGTAAGAAAAGCTAGATCATGAGCTTGCCCTGTTCCAAACTGATTGTAAAAAAGATATAGAGACCGAAGATTTTGAAGTCTACCAATATTAAGAGGGACTGATCCAGAGAAGTTGTTTTCGGCAAGATCAAGAAATTTAAGTCCCGAAATATTGAACAAGGAAACTGGAATAGACCCAGTGAAATTGTTTGCTCCGAAAATAAGTAATTTTAGTTTTGGCATAGTGAGTCCTATATCCACTGGAATTCTCCCATAGAATCGATTAAGTGCAACATTAATGTAAGCAATAGATGACATGTTGTAAATCTAGTTAGGGAACATACCAGACAACTCATTTGCACCAACATAGAGATTTGATAATCTTGTCAATCGGCCGAGATCCTTTGGAATGCTTCCCTCCAAGCTATTATCCACTAGATAAAGAGCTTGGAGCGATGACAGGTTCCCAAAAGAAGGTGAAATTTTTCCAGTCAAGTGATTTGCAATAAGAATCAGTGCAGAAAGCTTGGACAAAGAATCCAACTCGAAGGGGATTTTTCCGGTAAGGTTGTTTCTTGATAAGTCAAGCACTTTGAGATTGTAGCAGTTGGTCAGATTGCTTGGAATTTCTCCTTCAAAATTGGCATGGGAAAGGTTGATATATCGTAGACGGAGCAAACGACCCACTTCTTGGGGGATCGCACCGTGGAATTTGTTATCTCCAAGTTCAATGGAACGAAGAAATGTGAGGTTCCCTATATAAGGAGATACAGTTCCCACCAAGCTCTGTCCTGATTCGTTGATGTCGATGACCACATGTGATCCCTCGCCACTCACAGAAATGGAGAGACTCGTTCCAGGAACTTAGAGCTCCCAAAGGATCGTTAGTTATCGCATTCTTGAGCTGCAAGGCCAGTCTATCCGTTTCATTTCCTAAGGGGGTAGCATTGGTGGTGATGGGACCTTCTGAACACAACTTGAGAAAGAAGACATGAATTGCAGATAACCGAAATAGTGTGGAGGCAATCAATTGGAGCTCAATCTTCATGGGGACTTTGGGGAATGACAAAGGTAGATAGCCAGAGAACTATCTGCACCACTCAGGAGAAAGGTAATTTCTTGTCTATGATATGCGATGGAAAAAATAACTTGTATACTGATGTTGGAAACTGCCTTCCTTCACCATCCAAGCAATATAACAAGTAGTCCAGTCGTCTCCACCATGCTCTGTTCTTGAGAGAATTGACCATAGAAGATCTAGGTCTTGTAGTAATTATCGAAAAACATAACCAAGCCTTAACTCCTTTCGGTCTTTGTCTTCCATGATCTCAACGTATCTATCAGACTATCACTCTCGGTCTTTGTCCAGTATCCCCTGCTTGACCGTGAAGTGAGTGTTCAGTGTTCTTCTCTCCCGACATATCTTGACTTAGACTTCAGTAAATGGCTCCAATCTCATCAATGGCACTTTTTTTCCCACCATTTCCACTCATATTTGGCTTTTTATCTTTGTGTTTTCCTTTTCTTTTTCCTTTCTTGATCCTTATGTCTTCTCTGTTCATTTTGAACAGAAAATGCTCTGAACTTTAATTTATCCCAGACCCTTGATCAGTTTTTTGTTACAATTGCTGTTTCTATATGAAACGTTTTGGTTGATCAATACAAATTGGTGAAAAATATAAAAATAAATGTGCTTGTTACAAAAGAAAAATATAAAACAAGAAGTATGTCTATACTATTAATATAAAAGCTAGATTTGTCAAAATCCCAAATCCCACTTAATAAATGTGTTTTAGCTAGTTGATCTTCCAAATACTATTTGAAAAAAAATGACATAAAGGGTTTACTTTGTTCTTGGGTATATATCATGGACTATTATAACTTTTTAGGTGCAAATTATCCATGAATTAAAGCTGGAGAGCGTGGATATTAAGGGTGGCAAATGGGACGCTTGGGTTGTATAAGGGTTGAATACCAATCCACTCATATTGACCCATTAACCCACCATGACCCATCATCAATGCTTATTAAAGGATCATAACCCACTCTAACCCTGACCCACCATATTGACCCACTTGACTCACTCATATTGACCCATACCCACCCTCACCTATAAATATAGAAACGGGTTGCATGGACCTATATGCCCAAAATAACAATTTTTAAGAGAACCAACTCTCTTGAGGTTGCCATGTGCCAGAAATGGGTCGGGTCGACCCATACACACGAAAAATAACATTTTTTGGGTGAATAATCTCTCAAGGCTACCACGTAGCAAAAAACAGGTAGAGCCAACCTGTATACCCAAAAATAACATTTTTGAGAGAATAACCTTTACCAAGGCTACCACGTGGCAAAAACGGGTCAGGTTGACCCGTATATCCACAAATGCAAGAATTATATAGAAAAATACCAAAAACTTTGTAAAAAAGGAAAAAATTACCAAAAGGCAGAAATATTACAGGAAATTCAGAAAAAAATACAAAAAATATCAGGAAAATCACAAAAATTGCAGAAAATACCAGAAAATTGCAGAAATGCATGAAAACACAAGAAAATGTAGAAAATATAGAAAAATACAAAAAAACAAAAAGTGCAAAAAACGCAAAAAATACAAAAAACTGTAGAAATTGCAAAAAACACAAAAAATGCATAATTTTTGTAGAAAATTTGCAAAAACAATGCAAAAAGTACTAGAAAATGCATGAAAACACCAGAAATGCATAAATTATGCAGAAAAAAACCAAAAAAATATAGAAAATGCAGAAAAATACCATAAAATTGTAGAAAATGCAAAAAATACAGAAAAATACCAGAAATTGCAGAAATAATTGAGAAAATACTAGAAAATTGAAGAAAATGTAAGAAAATAGCAAAAAGTGTAAAAAAATACCAGAAAATTGCAGAAACAATGCAACAAATACCAAAAAGTTGCAAGAAATGTAGAAAGTAGTAGAAAATTGCGAAACTTGTGTAGAAAAATACCAGAAACTTTTAGAAAATGCAGAAAACTACCAAAAAATTGAAAAATATAGAAAATAACAAAAAATATAGAAAAATTGTAGAAAATTAAAAAAAGCTAAAAGTTTGCAAAAAAATCAGAAAAATGCAAAACAATACCAAAAAGTATCGGTATTCGGTATCAGGTATCATATCAGATAACACAAACACAAATACACTTTGGAAATGCATGGATATGAACAAAAAATATGGAAATGTATGGATACACTAGGAAAATACATACAAATTTTATAAATACATTAATAACACTAAATTTAAGATCAAAATAATCACAAAATAGTATATGAATACATTAAAAATGTAAATTTTATGATATATATGAAGAAATATATTACAATAGTAATTAATATATTGGGATGCATAGATATCATATAATTTTAGTTATATTGGTGTAGGTATATGTTGATCACCATGATGATGGGGGCACAAAAGGTGCTAAACCGATACCACAAGAACACTCGCGACAAATCCAAGACTCAACCCACATCCGCTTTGAGCTTAATAAACCAATGCAGACTTGTAATGAGCTTAGTAACCATCGCAGACTTACGATGAGCATAAAACATCACTTGGGACCCACAATGAACAATGGGTGTCGCTTAAGACTTGCGATAACATCGCCAATTTTGTCCTTTAACACGTAGCCACTGGAAAACCTGTAAAGGAACGTAGCCTACACGTTCCACGTGAGCACCCTTAAGAGAAAGAAAACTTTGCCTTTAAAGGATTTCGTTGGACACGTGGCGAAACCTCAATGGTGCTCCCTTAATAGTCAACATAAAGATAAAGATCCCCTTTCCTAAAAGGAAATGTCTCCTTTTAGATCCTTCTCCTTATAACCTTGAGGTCCTCTCTATAAAAAGGGATAGCTCTCCCCCATGTTAGACAAGAGGATTTGACTTCGACCTAGGGTTTTCCAAAAAGAGACTCTCCCTCTTCTCTTCTCTCTCCTCTCTTCCCATGCTCCCCTTCTTCCTTGTTGGCTTCTCCAGACCTTTGGAGACGCGACCATCCGCCAACGGGAGTCCATGTTATCAACAAATGGATCAATCAAGAGTCCAAGACACTAATCATATGCACCCATTTTATTTTAATTATTATATCAGTTATTATTTTATTTTACTAATTTAATTTTTTAAAATTAGTAAAAAATCAACTCAAATTAAAATATCAATTAGTAATTTATAAAAATACAATCTTAACTTAGAGTATATCAAATTTGTTAAAATTTCTAAAATACATATCATATACAAATTCATAGTTTTTAATTACTAAAATAATTATTCCATTATTAATATTTTTATTTTTATAAATTTTATGAAATAAATATAGATTAGTGAATTTGATATATTTAATTTAATATTATATTCTTTAATACTTTTGTTTAGAATATTTTTATTTAATATTTTGTTATTACTTATTAATGTAAATTAAAATATTAGTTAATAATTTATAAAATTTTAAGATTAATTTATATCATATGTGAATTTATATATTTTAAGTATTAAAATATTTATTCTATTATTAATATTCTATTTGTATAATTTTTTGATACTAAAAATCATCTTTTATATAAATGTAGACTTAATAGATTATTTATTCTATTAGTTTATAAAATATTTATTTTTTAATTTTTAGCTAGAGTTGTTAAATATAAATATGTGCTTTTCGTTTAAATTGCATGTGATCACCAAATTTAATAAAATCTATTTTATTTCATTTTTTATCACAAAATGAAATTTGACTTGGTGGCTTGAAATTGGAGCAAGATGTGGATGTACTAGGGGACCCTGAGTTTGAGTCACCTCAAATGCATTTTTTATGAGACTTGGTGAAATCGTTGACCCAACCCATCCTAACCCATCGACTCAATCCATCAAGATCCGAATGGTTAACCTCGACCCAACCCGCCCTGACTCTTTTCCACTTGACCTTAATGGGTTCCTTGACCCATTAATAGAATGAGTGGGTTGGGAGGGTCAAATGGGTTGGGTCAAGATTGCCAGCCTAATATTATTTATTTGTCATATGTTCAATGATAACTCCATATTTTGATGCCTTAAGGGCATCATTTTAGGGGTATTTTAGACCTTAGATTGACTAATTTGTACCCTTTTTTTCGGTTAAATTCAATGTTGTGACCTTTGAGGGTCCCTGTGCAAATTCTAGGTAAAAATGGGGAAATTTACAGAGTTTTCTGTAGATTTTGGGAAGCTGGTGAGAATTCAAACTAAGAGAGGGGGTATTTCTATGAAAAACTGAGCACGAAAGGACGCATCATATCTGCTAAACCCAAAAAGGCACCCCTCCTACTGTATTAGCATACTCCCCTCTCCTAAGCAAACCCTAGGGCGCCTCCCCACTCGTTCTTTTCACCTCTAACAAACCCTAGCCACCCCTAACTGCTAAATCTTCACCTTCCACTCCCCCCCAACATCTAATCTCAACCATCCAAGCCTTAGCAGCCCCTCATATCCTTAGATCTCTCCCTAGACAACATCCTATCCTTACACCTCACTCCTTAAACCTCAACCAATCACCTTAGGTTGCCACATCACACCAACCAATCACATTTCTCCAGCTCTGAGCACCCAAATCTGCTCCCTCCATTCTGGGCGCCAAAATCTCAGCCCTACATAATATTTGTGTGCCCTCTCCTTCTCTTCTCAGCCTTAGTATCACCATAGAACAATCATAATCTTTCATTCTCAACCCTAGGGCACCCATATTTCTGCAAAAACCCAGCTACTGCCACTCTCTTTCTCTCTAATCCCAAACCTATCATTCCTTCTCTATAAAAAGGACCCAAGGGGTCTTGAGAAGGGGTTGGATTCTGCCTCCAAGTAAGATGGAAGGCTGTTCTTTGAGAAGTTCAAGGGTAGAGGAAGAGGAGAACACTCAGGCAAGAGGAGGGGTTCCTACTTGCAGTTCGCCTAGCCACTACTGCCACCTCTGGATCCGGATCCCAACCAGTTTCCCATAGTTTTAGATTTACTTTTTACGCGTGTTTTTATTTTCTGTTCTTTA